AATTAATTAACTAACTAAACTTAAACCTTAAATTACGTATTATTTATTACTTAATTTATTTAGTTTAACTTAATTTTATTTTAGTATATTTTTATTAGATTATCTTATTTTTAAAAAAACACTCTCAAAATTTCAAGTAATTTGGATTTATAAAAAAAAATTAAAATTGAAATACAAATTACAATTGTGATCATTGGATTGGCCCAAATTGAATCTCGGCCGTTGGGCTCATATGTAGCTATAGGCTATTGGGCCTACACCAGTCTTTTCCATATATATATATATATATATATAAAATTGAACAACGTGTTACTATAAAGATGCTCTTTTAAGGGTTATTTTCTTTGATAATCCATGTTTGGGTAATATTGCAGTGAAGCCAAGGGGAGAAATGCCAGTAACGTTGTCCTTTATGAGGATGCAGCAAAGAAACAGCTTGTACAGTTCCTTGCTGCTCTCCGAGGCTGTCAATCCATGGCCTCAGCTTATTCGTCTTTTGCCAATGCCTTAGACTGTATGAACTCTAACGTACTTCGTCATCTGTTGACGCCAGGTATCTGTTGTTCTTCCTTCTATTGGCAGTTGTGTATTTTTTAATTGTGGAACTCCTTATGTCTTTGTGTCGCTGTTGTTGTATTTCTTCAGGAAAAGGTGTTCCTGACATTGAACCCATGCTGAAGTACTTTGTGGATGCATTTGATTGGTCTGAAGCTGATCGTACGGGACATGTTGTGCCCCATGAAGGTGGTGATGTTGAATATGATTCCGCATGTAAAACTGTCAAGGATATTGAAACTTGTCTAGCCCGTCACTTGAAGGAGCAGAGGAAAGCACTTGGGGATGCATCAGTAAGTACCTATGTTGGAAGCACAAAAACTTGTTCAATAAGAATGTTCAAAATTTTATGGTTTCCATGTAAGACAGAGTTATTGATTAAAAAAAATATGAACTCTGGAACCATTGTCTTTTGGGTTCATCACATTCAATGACATGATAGCTGGGGATGGAGAATGGTTCATCACATTCAATGACATGATTGAAGGGGATGGAGAATGTGCAGGACCCACCGAAAGGAAATGATTCAAATGATGGGTCCACTTCTCCAATCACTGTCCTCATTTCGTTGGATGTTGATGATCTCAGTGGTTGGTTTTCACAGTCCATTGGATTGTCTATGTTCACTTGTTGAAATTTTGTTCTGATGTATATTTTCTTGTAGATCAATTATGTGTCTGTTGGGAAAGACCACTATCTGCTAGAAGTACCTGAAAGTTTGCAACAAAATATTCCTCGGGACTATGAGTTGCGGTCATCAAGAAAGGTGTGCAACGCCTAGAAGCGGTGTATTTTGTTTGAACCATATCTTTTAAGGAGTCATGTACTGTTTTGATGTGTATATATGCTTTAAATCCCTGGGGATATAAAGAACAAGCTGTCTCTACCAGAGCTTGTTTCCTTGTAGGTCTTCTACCTGAATGGCACCTGCAGTAGGATTCTATTGTGGACTCAAGAAATAACTCTTGCTTGAATGCTTGAGTAGTATGCATAGGTTTGATCAGTTAAATCAAAATTTGAAAGTATTCCTATATGGACAGTATTATGTTCCTGTCCTAAATGATTGATTCTCTGTTGTAACCATTGACAAGCATAAGTAAATATGGTTAGTTAAAATAATGTTAGCTGAGAAAGTAAATTTTGGAAGGTTAATTGCAGGTTCCTTTTCTCTTTTATTAATGATCTTAAGAACATAAGTTTGTTTCAAAGACATGTATTTTAGTTTGCCACACAACAAATAATCCTCTTGAGCAAGAAAAGTAGAAGAGAACATGGAAACTTTCTATCTGATGTGGAGATCAGGCAAGTGGAGTAGAATCCCCAGCCAAGGCAGATAGTTTTATGAGGTTACAGTGGAAAGGTAAAAGTAACTTCTCAAAATCATTCTTTGTTTTCCAACTTTTTCTACTTGTATTTCTTTTTTGAAAAGGTGTGGACTTTGGGGCTATTTCCATTTTTCCTTAGCTGTTTGGGGATAACATTTTATGGTGTTCCCTAGTGTAATTTATGCTCTTCATTTTTTGAAACTTGCCTCAGTTCCTTTTGTTGGATTGGTGTCTTTTCTGGCAAACTTTGTGGGAATTGGAGATGAATGAAGGTGGATTTACTATGGCAGATTAACTTATTAAATTCATTCCACCTGCAAATATACAGACTACAAGTCAAAAGTTGGGGTAATTTTGATCAGTTACCTTTTCAGTTGCTGAGGCTCAGCAGATGTGTGAAATTTAATGTTGATCAATTTTAATAAGGACTGAAAATGGTCCGGGTTGGCCCTGCAGGCCTCATAGGCTTGTCATGCAGAAGGGCTGGGTATTGTTTCCCGAAAAGGCTGTTGGACTAGACCTGCCTCATTGTTAAGGGCCTGGCTCCTCTTTTTTTTTTTTATTGTGTGGGGGTGGGGTGGGGTGGGGTGGGGTGTGGTGGGGGGGTGTCTCGGGCCTCAATTATGAGCTTTGATAGACCTTTAGTAAGGTTAATGGGCTGGCCAGACTTTTCATTTTTAAGTATACTTTTTAGACGCATAGTTGTCAAGATTGGCTGAACTCCTTGGTTGGACTCCCAAACCGGTGCATTGGCCGGTTTGCTCCAAAGCAAAAACTGAGTTTGGTCGGGAACTGGTCAAAACCATTATTTGACCGGTTTTGACTTTTGACCGGTTTGACTATCCGGTTTTTACTGGTTGGACTGCTTAAATAGAGTTGGGCAATTTTTTCGTAATATATTTCTTGTTTTTAACTATTATTCTCAATTTTCTTTTATTTTTTTGAACATCTGGTTCAACCAGTTTGACTAGTTGTTGCACTCGTTTTGATTGGATAAGATCCCTCATTGGTTAGGTAGCTGTTTTGTTTATGATAACACTGTACATGTGCTTTATTTAGCCATTCCAGTTTTTAATAATCCACCCATGTTAGGAACAATGTGTTAGGAAGAGTCAAAACTTTGATGGTTTGCTCAAATTAATAATCCAGCTTTTAATAATCCACCCATATTAATGGTTGGGCCCAGACCCAGCCCAGGGCAGAACTCTTGGGTGATGGCCGGGGGTTGACATTGACCTGGTCCAGGCTTGTCCACTTTCACCCCCACTCGTAACCTTAATCTTGACCCTTGATCATGTGGGCATCTTTATTGATGGGGTGAATGCGTGCTATGCCTGCCTTACCGAATGATGAATTTTTCAGTGACTTTGGCTTGCGTTCTTTTGCATCGCAATTATCATTGTGATTTTTTTTTGGGTAAGTAAATCTCATTGTGTTTTATGACTGTTGCATGTATTGTCCCTTCTTTATTGGGATTATTTCCATTTATATAAAAATTTAATAATTTCTGTGATGTTCTTGCTTTAGTTGTTTTTTATTGGACAATGACGTTTTGTCCAAGCAACAACCTTGCAATGGAAGTGTTCAATTTTGTTTCATGTACGTTATGATCTCTTTATATAAAATTAAATACCTTACTTCATTTACAGCTCCTTGGAGTGACTTGTGGCGCTTGATAAATTTGCATATGACTTAGTGTTTCCTGAATTTTTTTATGTGAAAATTGCTGATATTGAACTGGCCATGGTGGATCTGTCTCATCCATGAAATATTGGCTGTTAGATGATTTTCTCTGTACGAATCTTAGGTTTTCTAGCCTGTTTGACTTTTTTGTTTGGTATTTTTAAGGGGTACTTTAGGTATTGGACTCCGGAAATCATGAAGTTCCTTGGAGAACTTTCTCATGCTGAAGCTGAGAAGGATGCTTCATTGAAAACCATCCTGCAAAGATTTATTGTGCAGTTCTGTGAGCATCATAAAAAGTGGAGGCAGTTAGTTTCTGCAGTTGCAGGTCTTTTCTTTCTTTTTTTTCTTCTACCTGTTGCATTAAGTTCTCAACTTTGTTGTCAGCTTGTGATTTATGTAACATTCTTTTTCTGCAGTTAGTGTACAACATATGCACATAAAAGCCTGAGAACATCGGCACAGAAAGCATATAAGAGTAGATGTGCACCTTGGCTCTGAAACTTGCCTAAATGATGGGGGAGATTTTTGATTTGTTGAAATTTGGAATAAAAAATGCAAGGGATAGGGCTGATTCCATTATGGGATATCTTTAACTGTCATATTAGATCATTGAAACTCTAATGAATTTTAACATGAAAGTCAAAAGATAGCCCTGATCTGCACCATTAGTGGTCATTGGTCGATGTTATTTATTACATACATTTCTGTATTGAACTCTATCTTTGTTTTAGTACCGTTAGCATGTTTTCGTCGCATACTACTGGTTGTTATTCTGTATGTTTTAGATAGTCCTATATCATATATTAATAAATGTATATCGTAACGTTGCATCTATAAAATTGATGCAGCTGTTTGCCTTCCTGGTGGCATTGCAGAGTGTTCCTTATTTGTTACAGGGTTAGAAATTTCCGTTGGCCATGTTTGGCAGGGTTGTGGGTGTGGGTGGTGGTATTGGCCAAGTCTAATGGAAAATTGGCATAAAACTGTCAGGAATGTATATTATGAGACCATTTCCCATTGTTACAAGAAGGTTAGAATCACTCCGAGCCATTAGATGTCAAATTGGGTAGCTCGGAGTGTGTCATGAAGTTTGAGAATTATTATTATTATTATTAGTATTTTGTTTTAAACGTTTGAGTCTAGTTAATGACACAAAATCACCCGATTTAAAAGCTGACATGCAGTGATTATGACCTCCTCTCACTAAAAGTAAATGGTCTCTTTGTATACTTCTCCAAAATTGACTGCTCGGGTGAAGCTTGCTTAGTTCCTGAGCCGAGTTGACTTGGGTGAGTCCCATGTTTCAAACATTGGCTTCACCTCTATAGTAGTATTAATCTTTCTTATTTTTATGCTCATAATTTTCTTATTTTTCTCAGGGAAATTAACATAATTACCCCTTTTATTTTGCAGTATTTAGAAAATGTCCCACATATTTTCCAGTTGGACACGCATGTCCCCTTTTTTCTGATTTTATATTTTCCCCAAAATGCCCCCTGTTCAGAGATCCAAGTTCCGAACCCGGATATATAGATATTGTTGTGGCTTAATTTCAGTTTTGGAACTTGAAGTTTCAAATTGGGATAAATTTTTTTTGGTCTAATTTTTTGTTTTGAAATTTGGGATTTTTTTAGCCCTTTTTGGCTTAGTTTCTGGTTTGGCACTTCCGAGTTTCGAGCTTACTGTTTTGTTGAAAAACTGGTTTGGTAGTAAAAGACCGGTTCGGATCTTCAAGTTCAGAAACCGTCTAAAATCACCCCTTAGAAAAGAGAGTACAATATGCTCACTGTAAACATAAGCCCTCAAACATTTGACTTATTACATTGACAACTTTATTTAAATAATCATCTGGGATTCTATAACTGATCCCACATTTCAAAAGCAAAAAAACATTTCTGGAGGGAACACTGTATTGGAAGAAGTTAAAGAAAGAGGAAAATTTAATGAGCTGATTAAAAGCCCATTGAGTGCCGAACTTTTTCTTTTTCTTTTTCTTTAACTCCTTCCATTAAAGTGCGCCCCTCCAGGAGCACATTGTACACTTGTTTCCTCATAAAAAATATTTTTCTTTTCTTTTATTTCTTTTTTATTATTTGGGATCCTATTTTTTGGGTCGTACATGATTTTAAATTTCTAATTATTTGAAACTTTTAGTGTAATAAACAATTTATTTGAGGGATTATGTTTATTGTGAGCTCCTCTGGGTGCATGCTTACGTCCTCTTTTGTTAAAATAAATTAAGTGTCCGTCTCAGAATTTCAAGTTCTGATCCGGTTTTTCATCAACAGTTTTGGTTCAGAACTAGAAATTCTGAATATTAAGAACAAAGAAATGCCCTGTTCTGGAACTTGGAATTTTAAAAGAGGGAAAAAGGAAAAGGAAGAAAAAGAGATGCATGTAAAATTGAAAATATGTGGGACATTTTATTAATACCGTAATGAAAGGGGATATTTACTTTAGTTTCCCTTTTTCTTAGCAAATATCTGTTTTTCTTGGAACAACTCTTACGTGACGTTAGATTTTGTCAACCCAACTGATGTTGTGTGTACTAAACTTAGCCTGTTGTTGGGTTGATGCCAGGCTCTTTTATCATAGGCAACACATTCAGTCACTTCCATTGATGTAACTATATCCTGCCCTTAAATAGAATTCGTCCATGTCTCTTATGATCCCAAGTTGTGTGAATTATATATATTCCATATTATATATTACGTTAATATATTTTTTTTGGGGGGGAAGTTAGCTGGGAAAGGGGCCCACTATTAAGTCCAAGTGATGGTTGCGTAGTCCCATGCTTAGTGAGTGCATCCGTCACCTGGTTTATCTCTCTCAATATATGATTAATCCATGTTAAAATCTGAAGCTTGGTGATGCAAGTTTTTGTGATAGTGCAAAGGCCCTTAGGAGGGGAAACCTACTGATTAGGCAACCAGAAACATATAATCGCTTTCTATAAGTAAATTGGGATAGTTGAATTCTGCAGCAAGAGAAACACCCTTTTCTAATAAAATGAACTCCACAAAATTGCTTTTTCTAATGCCTAAGGGAATGGAAAATGTCACCAGACAAAGGCTATCATGATCACGAATCCAACCTCCACAACCCACCTTTACAGGTTACAAGAAATGCACCAATGATGTTAAGCTTTAGGAATTCGATTTGACGAGGTATCCAACTCATGAAGGTTTATTAAGGGTAGACAGGACAGGATGGCAAGTAAGTTGGAGGTTTTGTACAATATGAATCTCTCTTTGATGAAAGCACCAGCCATGCACAGCCTCCAAATATTGAACTAAGGATGCTTTGAAGAACGTATTCTCTTTAACACCTCTTTCTTCCATGAATCACAATGTTTTGTTCCTCCCAAAAGTACCATACAATCATCCCAGACAAGGAGATACAAACATTTGACATGCATTTCGATTCAAAACAAATTTATGCCATCTCAAGCATCACCAACATTTGGGAAGCAGATATTAGATTCTTATAATCCATAGAATGTATATTACTCAATAATGGCAAATGTGTCGCACAAAATGCCTTGTAAAATTTATCATAATTTTGTTTGAAATTTCTTCATTTTAAGAAGCATTGTATATGATAAAATTTTTAAAATTTGATTTTTTTTTTTGTGGAAAGCAGTTGATGCCAATTGAAGATGAGACTTGAAATTTTAATGGAGTTCTAGTTTATCCAATTTTAGTTTTTTTTTTAATTACTCGTTTTCATTTATTTTTAACTAATTTATGCCATCATACTACAATTGAAATTTTCAACTATCTTCAAAGAATTTCCTCATCATCATCATCACCATCAGAGCCTTATCCCATCTATTTAGTATTTGCTACACAAATGCCGTTCTACCATTCTGCTTTAAGGGTCATTCCTTCAGTAAGACCATAGGGCCCCATATCTTTTCTCACTACTTCCATCTATGTCTTTTTGGGCCTTCCCCTTGCCCTTTTAAAGCCTTCTATTGTTCCACTGAATCAAGTTGCACCTCCTAACCGGTGATGTATTAGTTCTGAACATGGCTTGCCCACGTAAGTCTACTTTTCCTCATCTTATTGCCAATTGAAGCCACACTTAAGTTCCCTTGAATGTATTCATTTCGAATTGTATCCTTTCTTGTCTTGCCACTCATCTATCTCAACATCTTCATCTCAATTACACTCATCCTGTGGGTATGTTGTTTCTTGACTGTTGAACATTCCTCCTATAAAGCAAGCTGGTCTCACAACTGTCCTATAAAACTTCCCTATTTATAAAAATGTTCAAAATATGAATAGTTTGCATTAAATCAAGATCCCATATTATGAATATTCATTGTTTTAAAATACTTAATTCCAATTTAAAATAATAGACTTGGTTTTAGGAAAGGCCTGCACTTTGAGAAAGAGAATAGAGGTGGCCATAAATTTAGTTAAATGTGCTTAGAGATAGAAATTGAGAATGTAATGTGAAAAGAGATGATCTAGGAATTCCAAACTTATTCAGGCTTTTGGAAAGGGTTTTTTAGGAAAGTTGGAGGAAAAGAGACTCATGGAGATGGAAACAATTCACACTCTATCTATTCACCCTTAGCATATAGATTTATCTGTATGTACATTATATATTCACATTTATACTATTATAAATATTACATATGAATGTAACATTTAAAAGCTCACAAAGCAAGGTACCCATGCTTTCTAGTTGAGTTCACTACACTTTGCTGGGCTGATCTCCCCTCCTTGTTCACTTTTGTTTCCGATGTACGTCTCATCTGTTGCATTCCCACCAAGTTTTCCATGCACGTCTTTGGCCTCATCTCTCATCTCCAGAGAATGATTGGCACATTGCCCCTCCTGATGGACTTTGTTAGGTTCAGCTGAAGTGGGCATCTGGCTGAAGTTGATGTGCTTCAGACAGAGTGGCTGTGGCGGTCTGATGAATTGAATGAAAAGTTCTAAATCATCTTCATTTCAGTTAGCTGTAGCCTTACGTCAAAATGACATGAATATGATAGAATTGGGGGAAAGGATTCCGGTTTTTAATTTGGATTTTTGACCAAGGGATCCTGGTTTTACTTTTGGCCTTTTGAATTGTTATTTTTTTCTGTTTGCTCATAGTCTAACCTTTGCTCATAGTCTAACTATAAAGTAACAATAATTTTCTCACAATGATGGATTGACTACTAACCGTATGCAAGTGTAAAACAACAATAATATTCTTTATGAAATATCACTGGAGGATTCATGGTGAAATGTTGAACTTGATTGTTCTTTTGGATGGCAACTTTTCGCAAATTGCTTCTGTTACTTATCAATATTTTTCACTTGTTTTTGAGGAATAGAGATGCCTTTCTGAAAGAAGTTTATGCTTATTCTGGCCATATCTAATGCAGAGCTAGATGCTTTGACAAGTTTGGCTATTGCGAGTGAGTATTTTGAGGGACCTGCTTGCTGCCCAACCATCCTCAGAATGTCTTCTTCCGGTGATGGGAAAGAAGGCTTCAGTTTGTTCGCTGAAAATCTGGGGCATCCTATTCTTAGAAGTGATGCTTTAGGGAAGGGATCATTTGTTCCTAATGATCTGAGAATTGGCACAGCCGAAGGTGCTAGATTTATCCTTCTAACTGGTCCTAACATGGGTGGTAAATCAACTCTTTTACGCCAAGTTTGCTTGGCTGTTATTTTGGCACAGGTAACGTCTTGTCCATTTGATGTAAAGTTGTGTATTTAGCAACACATTTTGCACGTGGGTGGAATGTGAGGACGAGGGTGTTTATGCTTGCAGACACAAAACTCATCCCTGGTACATGAAACCCAATGGTCATTCAATTGAAAAGCAAATAAAAATTACCGAAACAAAAAGAACTGTAGAAATAAAAGAAAATAAAATAAGATATTTCGATCTTGAAAGTGTTCAATAGAAATTATGGAATGGATGTAAAATTATAAACTAGAAACTACAAAGAACGGAAAACCAGAGCAAAAGGAATTAACAAACCACTTTTCACTTTTCTTTTCCTTTTTATAGTCTTTTTTGCTTTGTTCTTCCTTTTTTTTTTTTTGGGGGGGGGGGGGGGGTTGATTTTGGGGCTGGGGGGTGTGGGGTTGTGTGGGTCTGAGAGTTCCTGAAAAAACAAAGGAAAAATGTTAGGTAAGTATAATTACTAATCTAGAGAAAGTAATATTGTGTTGTTTGGAGCATTGATTTCAAAAAATGATTAGTATCAAACTTCTGGCAAGCAGTAAAAGCACATGATACATTTGAGCATGAAAGAAGTAAAAAAAAAAGGAAGTCTGAGAAAAAGAGAAAATAAGAAACAGGTCTAAAAACCATAAAACATATAAATGTTGATAATTTAGCAAGAAAGGGAAATAAAAGAAAGCATTAAAAAAAGAAAATTAGTGACTGTGCCTGAAGATAAAAAAGAATAATAAAGCAAAATAACAATAGTTTATATCTTACCATGGCATTGAAAAAAAGCTCATTGATGTTATTTTCACCAACTTCTGAACAATCATGGCACTTTGAAATGAAACACTATTGGAAGTTTAAATGAAGCATTTTGTTGTGCTGTCACCTTTGTATTTGTAGTGCTTTTCAGTTTCTATTTGCAACAGCACTTCATCAGACTTCAGATCATAATCGCACTTGCCCTTGAAACACATTGAAGATGACTTATACCATCTAGGGACTTATCAGAAAAATAAAATCACCTTACCCCTTAGGAGAGTGAGGAAGAGAGTGAAGGAGATTAATGTTGTAAGCATGTGTTTATGTCATATTCGGTTTGATGGGTTTCTTTATGGCATCTTGGGGGTTGCAGTGCCTCCCATCCTATCCTCATCAATTAGTTTCTGTTGTCCTGAAAATCGTTGGTCTATTTTCCTGGGCAGAGAGCCTGCTGCTAGCATCCTACTTTTCCATTTACACAGTTTAGCTCTCTCATTGTTTATTTCAAAATTTTAACAGTGAATGGTTTAAAATCTGATTGTTTTGTTTCCTTTCATAGGTTGGGTCATATGTTCCAGCTGAGAGCTTTCAACTTTCACCTGTTGACAGAATATTTGTTAGAATGGGTGCAAGAGACAACATATTTACTGGTCAAAGTACCTTCCTTACAGAGCTCTCAGAGACCTCGTCTATGCTGGTGAAGTTTTCCTTCTAGGATTGATGTCACTAAAAATATTTGTTTAATATCCAATTCATTATCTTGTTTTCTACACAAAGTTGTCCTTTTCTTGCTAATTGCTTGATTTAATTTAGTGGATTTTGATAGTTCTACATGGCTGGTTCGCTCAGATGTCAGCTACATCAAATTCCTTGGTGGCACTGGATGAGCTGGGGCGTGGAACATCAACCTCAGATGGACAAGCTATAGCGTGCGTGCATTTTTTAATATCTTTCTGTAACATTTCTTTTACTATTGGGGCAGAATGTTCAAGAAACAACATACCCATAAGATGAGTGTAGCTAAGATGAGGAAGTTGAAATGGATTAGTGACATGACAAGAAGGGATGGAATTTGAAATGAATGTATTTGAGAGAACTTAGGTGTGGCTCCAATATATGATAAGATGAGAGGAAGTAGACTTAGTTGGATTGGAAATATGCAGCGAATACCCAATTTAACACTTGTTAGGAGGTGTGAGTTAGTTCAAGTGGAAGGCTCAAAATGGGCAAGGGGTAGACCCAAAAGGGCATGGTTGAAAGTAGTAAGAAAAGATACAGGGACTTATTGCCTCATTAAGGGTATGATGCTTGATAGAGCAAAATGGCAGATCAGGATTTGTATAGCCAATCCCAAATAGTTGGGAAAAGGCTCAGATAATGATGATGGCGACAATAACCTCTTGAAGTTCAAAGTGACCAGCTTCATTGATATTTGTAGAGAGCTTTCTCTTCTACACCTCCTCCTAGCATCAAAATTAAAAAAAGAACGAAAGAAAGAAAAAGAACAAAAAAGAATAAAATCGATCATGCAAGATTGTGGTAAATTACATTAAGGCCTTGAATACTTTACTTACTCAAGTTGGATGGTTTTTGGCAGAGATGCAGTTCTAGAACACCTTGTCCACACAATAGGTTGTCGAGGCATATTTTCTACTCACTACCACCAACTAGCTGTGAATTACGAGAAAGATCCAAAGGTATTTATGTTGATCTGGTTGCAACTTTTTTGCTATTATTTATTTTATTACAAAAATAAGGATGATTTAGCTGGCATGATACATGGGTTAAGATTACAATGTCGGGAATAACTACAATATGCTCAGATCTGCCTCTGTACCCCATACGAGTAAATGGCAACCGTACTTTATGTGTTGCTCAATGGTTGCTATTACTATCGTCATTTACTTTTGAGTTCTTGTGTTAGTAGGACCTCAATGGTTCTCTAAGTTGTCGAGTATTCATTAAGCAATTGCTACCTATTTATGTAGGTCTCCTTGTGCCACATGGCATGTCATGTTGGCAAGGGTGTTGATGGGATTGAAGAGGTCACATTTCTTTACAAGCTAACACCTGGTGCATGTCCTAAAAGCTATGGTGTTAATGTTGCCCGTTTGGCAGGTATTCTTGCTACCATTTTTTCTTTTGATATAATCCTTTGGATCATTAGTAATCTTGTACAACAATTTCAAGCAAACCTCGTATGCAGAGGATTTGAGATTTTTCAAGCAAACCTCATTAGTAATCTTCATATTTGCTTTATTGAGAATTTTAGACCTATTTTTAGGTAAATGAAATATTTCTTTTCAATTTCAAATTGCTTATTTTGCTTCCACACTACATACAAGTTACTATTGGGAAAGGTTTTCTAACGGGATAACTCTAAATTATCATGATAAGTTCTGTTTACAACGATATTATTGAATTATAGTCAGCTATAGGATCCATTGGGGTAAAATTATGATAATTTCAATTTATTAGATATAATTGTGACCGAGGGCGTGCCTTCTTAATTGAGGGGGGCTTCCTCTATCACCTCATTTTCTTTGGAAGTCTATATTCTGTTCGTCACTAGGTGAACATTGCAGTGAATGGACATATTAATGTCAGCACAACAGCACCTTAAATGTCAATATGGGCACGTTGTTGGAAAGGTGATTATTTCTCCCAGAATCTTAGCGATACATACCGGCCTTCGATTCCTAAAACCTCTTCTTTAAACATGCTACTGGGTTCATGCGGGTGTATAAAGTGCAACACTGGTGGGCTATCATTAGCTATCAGACACCTAGAGGTTTGGTGCAGAAAAATAAAAGCAAGAAAAAATCCAATTTGTGGGGGGTACTTGAAGAGAGAGAGAGAGATGGGAGTGCCATGGAGAAACAGCCCCCACTTCTCTTGTCAATGGACTGCCGTTTGTTCCAATATCTGATTTTACTGTATATTAAACAGACCGACGTGCTTTTTTTCCTTCTCGCTTAGTCGGGTCAACAATTCATTATCTTGGTATCCACCACTGCAGGAATCCCACATTCTGTCCTCACAAAGGCCAATGAGAAGTCAGTGGAATTTGAAGCAAGATATGGTAAACGTGCATCTAACTGTGGAGACAAACCACCGGATTATGGCAATGATGAGTTCTCATTTATCAAAGAGATGGTGAATATCAGTAAAGCTTCAAACTGCCATGAAAGGCTTGAAAATTCAGATATGGGTCTTCTAAATGAACTTCAGAGAAGAGTGAGGTTGTCTTTTCAGTGAGGATGGTATCACCAATGATCTCAAAATGTGAAGGCCTGAGGATATATATGAGATGCGTCCAGTTGCTTTGGAACTAGATGTGGCAAACGCAGGTTCATTGGGGCTTTCTTGGTTATGTTAACGGATCGAGTCTAGAGCATGGAAGCATTGGTAAGCAGAAGGCAACTTAGTATGGAAGCATTGGTAAGCCGAAGGCAACTTAGTTTTGCAATTGATTTAGTGTATGGCTTTGTATTTTGCCTTTTTGTGCATAAAGGTCCTACTAATCCATGTATCCAAGCATGATTTACTTGGTTTAGTGAACTTAATTATTGGGCTTTTAGTGGGAGTTTCTTTAGGAGGATTTCTCCTCGAGAATTCTCCACTGTAATTTTGTCTAACATGCCTGTAATTATTTGGTGTGCATATGCTGCCAATGTTTATCATATTTTTGTGCTAATTCAGTTTTATCTTATTATTGTTATTATTATTATTTTGATTACACATGTATATTCGAAATTTGGGATCTACAAATAAGCCTGCTGTCTTAAATATTTTTCCTTTATATTTTTTCTCTTTTGGCTTGAAATTAAGGGCCTCTTGGCTCAAACGATTTCTACCGGCCATAAATTTTTTTGAGAATGGCTACAAATGTCTACAAAACTTTTCTGTTTTTTCCACGGAAATGTGTTTGGTCAAGAAAGGATCCAAAAAACATCGGCCACAAATTGAAGAATTGTTTAAAGAGGAAAACAAAGACGTATCCAAATTCATACATGGAAATTGGTCATGAACAAAAACAATCTTTGGTTCCCTTGTAGAGAAAGAACGGCACCTTCCCCATTTCGTCAAGTCTCATTGAATTCATGGTATCAATTGTTTGGACACAGACAAGGAGCCGTATCACGTAGTAATAATAAGGATGAGGGTGATATTCTCATCACAATTTGCACTAAGCGGTTTAGGTAGAATGGTAATGGTAAAATCCGAAGATGATATTATGGATTGTCAATAATCCAGTAAGAATCACAAGTTTTTGGAAAGAGCATGTAAAAAGTTCCAATCAGTATCTTAGTATATTCTCTATGGTCTATAAAAGAAAAATTCATAATTGTTTCACATATTTAAAGACTTTACTGGATATAAAATAAATTCTTCCATACCACTAATATTGTTGGGGAGTAAAATCATTCGATCCAGATTTGGAATTGTTCAAGAGTATTCATTCTAGGGCTGAATTGGTATTTTGTTTATAATATATTATGATTCTTATTAAGAAGGTTAAATTGTGGTTAGGCCAGTGCCCTAACTAACATTTCGTATTATTTGTTTTAAAATAGGCATTATGGTCTATATATATATATATATTTATTTATTTATTTATTTTTGTTTTTAAAATATTTTTTTTGATCGCAAACTGATCCGGTCTGGTGATCCAACAACCAGCACAGGATCCGCCTACTGATTCTTTTTTTGAAAAACTAGTTTCCTTGTACACATCACTTTTATATAAGGGGCAAGAATCCTACCCGTTTCTCCGTTGGATGTCCTCATCCTGAATATGGAAGCCAACTTTTTCGTATTGTAAACTAAGATACGCTTTTACATTTATTTAATCAAAATCAGTTCAAACTCAAAAAGGAAAAAATTACTCAATCCTATCTAATAAGAAGTAAGATTTCACCCCAAAAAACAAAAAAAAAATTAAGAACCAGGGACTTCATCGGTACAAGTTTATTAGACACGGCGGGTGACCATTGTTTGTCGCTAGTTGGAGAGTTAGAAAAAACTCACTTGTTGATAACAAGAGAATTTTGGACTTAGGACCGCAAAGATCTCATTATTATTAAAAAATTGGATAAGCTTTTTTTTTTTCTTTTTTTGCAAATATGAGACATGTTTAAACAATGTTGTTTTGAAAAACTTGCAAAATGATCATCTCTACCTTTGGATATGAAATAAAAATAATGAATTTCAAACATTAAAGATGATTTATCTTGCAAGGCTATTATTGGATTGTCTATTTTAAATCCTTATTGGTAATTTTTGGATGGCTTGTTTCAAGACTTCATATGTTGGTCGGTTTTTGCACATTTTTTGAGCTTCAAAAAATGGATTTGCAAGCCATTAAAAGAGTTTCCAGTGCACACCTATTTTGCTGGCTAGGTTTTGAGGTATGGCCTTGAAAGCAAAATTAATGGAACGAGGATGAGCTCCACACCTAAGATCTGAGAGGGGTGTGCCGTGAGGCTGGTGATGCAAAGTCAGAATTTTAATTAGAAACCCTGAGAGAGAGAATAAAAGCTCTTTCTATTTACTGGAGGCTCTGTATTTTCTTTGTTGTATTTTTCTCTTTCTGACTTCTCATACTTATGGGAAGAAGATGAGGCCCAACGTTTCTTTTCTCAACGGGTATTTAAGAAAGAAACTCCCAGATCTCGTGGATACTTATCTACACGAACGTTAGAAATCATTGAGAAATTGAATTATATATTTATATATTATATTTAACAAAATCCTTTATAAATGGATAAGCATATATGTATATGGGATTTCTCTCATAAAAATAGAGGTCCACAAAAATAGGTGAGGCAATGTGAGGCCTCATGGCCACACGTGCTAACATCTCCCACTTGGCCATGACGGCCGAGCCCAATAAGAAGTTATACGCACACTTCAATTTTTGGTATGACCTTTACTACAATATTTTGTCATGAGGTTTTTCTAACTCTTTTGCAGATATGTCTCTCATAATAAATGTTCATAATTTTCATCATGATGATTTTCATGTTAATATGGATTTGTCACTCATGGAAATTGACTGACTTAAACTTTTTTAAGTTTCATTAAGTTAGTGTGAATAGAAAGAAATTCAATGCTTAGATCATTTATCAATGGATCAACGATCATATATGATGAGGGCAAATAACTAATAGTTATTTTATTTTCTTTACTATATCTTGAATGTAATGATATTGTACACATCTATATGTCTTCATTTGGAGCGATTTGCTCTACTTTGTATTAATTTAAATGCAGCTTGATTATCAAAAAACATTTGTATTGGTTCATCGATTTGTAGCTTCAAGTCATCTATGAAGCACTTTATCTAAATAACATAAATATATGCAATGTACTCAGCTTCATGTGTGTACATAGCGACATATATTTGTTTTTAGTTATATTAAGAAACAACTACACCTCCAAAAAGGAAGACATGCCTTGAGGTGGACTTACTATTGTCCTTATTCCCAACAAAATTTGCATCTATATATCCTAGAACTTCAAGTTTATCTATTTGAAAAAATACTTTAACGTGTTTTGTTCACTTAATGTACCTTAAAATTATTTTGACTGTTTTCTAATAGGCTATGCACGTATTGCTTTGATATCTACTTACAACACCTAAAACATAATTCAAATCTGGTATTGTGCATCGTACTGAACATACTAAGCTACCAATAGCTTGTGCATTGGGAATATTAGGTTTTTATTATCTTTCTACTAGATAATCCTTCCTAGACAACTTTGTTCTCCTTTCAAGATGAGTAAACATAGTTTACAATTTTTCATTTGAAATCTTTTAAGAGCAGAGTCAATATGTTTCTCTTGGCTCAAACATAACATTCTAGATTTAATAATACTTCATATCCCATCATGAAATATTAAGTATCATTGTTTTGAAGATTGTTTTAAACCATATAAAGCCTTATTTATTTTTTATATTTTATTTTCTTGACCTTTAATTATAAAGCCATTAGGTTGCTTCATGTAGTTGATTTCCTTTAATTCGCCAGTAAAGAATGTCGTCTTTACATCCATTTGGTATAGTTCTAAGTTATAAAATGTAACGATTGCCAAAAAATTTCTTACGGATATAAACATAGAAACAAGAGAGTAAGTGTCAATATAGTCAATTTCTTTTTTTTAGGTAAATTCCTTTGCTACTAACGTAGCTTTAAATTTATCAATTGATCAATCAGATTTTAGCTTATTTTAAGTACCTATTTGGAACCTATAGGTTTCCTATCTGATGGTAAATTACATAAATCCCAAACTTTGTTTTTCTCAATAGAATCTAATTCGTCTCTCATGACATTAAGTCATTTTTGAGATCCTTATAACTTCATCGCATCATTGAAGTCAAAGGGATTATTTATTTCATCTAGGTCAATAAGATTGTATATCTGCTCACTCATGTAGATATAGAAATCATCAAGGTATGATGGAGGAGTTCTAGACCTCTTTTGACCACTTAACATAGTGTGTGTGAGTACTTCAATATCATCATGTTGGTCAAGGTTATTCATGACCATTGTAAGTGGTGTATCTAAGTAACCTGTGATCTTAAGTGGATCATCATTATTCATTACAGGTAGATTTTTTTATTGAAATATTCTAGGAACTCAACATCTCTACTTTCAACGAGTCCCTTACTCTTATGATAAAATCTATAGCCCTTTGAACTTTCAGGGTATTCTATAAAATTACAAACAAGAATTTTGTTTTCTAACTTATTTATTTGTTGATATGAAATTAGAACATGGGTTGTTGACTCCCGCTTTTTAAAGTTGTTGATATGGAATTAAAACATGGGTTTCCACCTTTTTAAGTTGCTTAGATTAGGTCTTCTATCTATCCACAATTTATAAGGGGTAGAATCTATTACTTTAGTTGGAACCCTATTGAGAATATATATAGATGTGCGTATTACTTCTCCTCAAAAGGTCTTGGGCATACTAGCATAAGTCATCATGGATCTAGTCATTTCTAATAGAGTTCTATTATACCTTTCAATTATTCCATTTTGTTGTGGTATAAAGCATATTAGTATGTATTTTAAGACCATATTCTTGGTAATAAGAGTTGAAAGCTTCAGATGTATATTCACATCCCCTATCAACTTTGATGTTCCTACCCAAATAGTTTTCTACTTCTTTTTTATATATTTTAAATAGTATTAGGGCTTTTGATTTATGATAGATTAGATAAACATATCCAAACCTAGAAAAAACATCGATAAAAGTGATGAAATATAACATCCTTTATGAGTTTTAACATTAAGAGGCCCACAAATATCTGAGTGGACCACATTCAACAATTCATTAACTCTCATATATTTATTGAATGATTTCCTAGTCATTTTTTTGTTTATGCTTACAGGTTGAAAATTCTACATTATTTAGATTTGAATACGACATTTCTTCATTAACTTGTTGAGTTTAAAAACATTTACGTGGACAAGCCTAAGATTTCGTATATGCATCAACAACCATTACAAAATCAACATATTTATTAACCTATTTATTTTAAATTTTTTTACGTGGACCAGCCTAAGATTTCGTGTATGCATAACAATCATTACAAAATCAACATTAACTAGAATAAGTAGAAATTTTATTATCAACTTTCTCATTTACATGAAAAAGGAACTGCTAAAATCGATTGCCCTATATACAACCTACTTAATGAACTGGTAAGATCGATTGCTCTATATATAACCTACTTGTTACACCAGAATAGAAGTATTTCTCCCGCTGTTTTTATTTCTTTGAAATTATTGAAAAGGCTTTTTGAGCTTACAATATGTCGATTAGCACTTGAATCTTCCCATTATCCTTTAGTATCAGACATTCTGAAACCACATGAACAAATCATATATGAAAAAATATATAAAAAAATAATAATAATAGGCTCCCATATTTTAGTGGTTGAAAAAAAAAAAACTTAGCAGACTCTCAAATTTTAGCAATTGAAAAAACAAAACAAGTTAAGAAATTAAAACAAATATTAAACTACTTTAAAGATGTCGAAGATTGGAAAAAATTACCTGAAAAATTAAATCACATGACTTGGTTTCTATGCGAAATATGCATCATCTCTTGTTTGTGTCTTTGTTTGTGAGTTTTCATGTTAAAGATGGATCATCTCTTATTTGTGTGTCTTTGTTTGAGTTTCCATGAGAAAGATGAATAATCTCTTGTTTATAGGTTTCCCATGCGAAAGATAAGAGAGAACGAAAAAGCTAAATAAAAAGATAGGTTCTAAACCTAAATAAAGAGAGATGTGAAAAAGAAATTTGAAAGTGTACATTGGGACGATAGAGCGTGAAAAAAAGTTGTTCGTGGAGAAGCTTTTTGTTTCAAGGAATTTGAATCATACTTATATCAGTCATCTCCAATATCTCAAATTTTGTAGTTTCTTAATTTTTATAGTTTTTCTTTTAATTAACCTACGTCTCAAATTTTCTAGTATCTCACTTCTATAGTTTTTGGTTTAATTCATCCACTTCTCAAATTTTCAAGTTTCTCACTTTTATGGTTTTTGTTTTAATTCATCCACTCTACAGATACGCTTGAACTACTTACATGCGTCGCCTCCATATCCATTCGCTTTATAAGCCTAGTGGCATGAATCATGCCTAACGATTCATACAATCTCATCAATTTAGTTCTTGTTTTAAATCCATTCGCTTTATAAGCCTAGTGGCATAAATCATGCCTAATGAGTGTTCCATGCCAAACAAGTGCATATGACATGTAATATGTTCGTAACTCTTAAAAGTGAATTATTAATTCTTTAAAGGGTGCCGTTTCTGTAAGGTTGTAATTTTAAACAATCTAATTAAGGCACGTTTCCAAATTTTATTATAATATGTAATTTTGGTACAAAAAATTCTTAAAATTATCTAAAAATCTATTCTTATATCTAATCATAAAATTTAAACTCCAAAGGGTTAAAATCAAGTAGATCTATACGCATATGAAAATATTGAAAATAGACGGTCTAGATAGTTTGTTGCAAGATATACGATTATGGGACTCAAAATCTTTTTGTTCTTTTTTTTTTTTAATATTCATACATCTCGATGTTGAGATAATTAATTAAAAGGTTTTTCAATATTAAAACAACGTTTTTCAATAGATTTTTTATGTGCATCTTTAATTCTACATTTTTAAGGTTTGCCACCTTGTATAAACCTTTTCCCTCTTCAAATGAACTTAACAATTCTTTCCGATGATATCTATGTTATATTGTTCTAAAAGCCTATTAAACCCATAATCAAAGTTTAATAATTTTTATATGATTTTCTCATTTTTTTCAAAGAATAAAATTGAAAGATATCGAGCTGAGGTTTGAGACACATCAACCCTATTGATATGAGATGGTTGTCCAGCGGCCGGCATACCATTTGAAATCGAAATGCCATCCCCAATAGAGTCTTCCTCTTTTAAGTTTTTTGTGCGCCTTTTTAACCTTAAAATAAAAAAAATTAATATCTTTTTAAACGAAGGAACTCTTACTAAAAGACCTTTACTGAGTCACTTTATCTTTTCCACCTTTCTTCGTCACCACCATTGATGTGCATAATCTTTTTGGAAGCACACGACAACAACTCCCCGGGTCTCTCACACACACACATACATACATGTGCATGGTCTCCCCGCAAGTGTCTTTGCGCACACGAGCTATTTCCTACGTTAAAAACCCACATTCCAATTCAAGATACATGTTTTACATTGGATAGTTGCCACTTTAGCATGAATTTCCTTATAATTTTTGTGCTTTAGTTTCCAAAAACTTTAACGTGAACTGGTTTTTGCCCCACTGAAAATGGTTGAGGCATGCAGACAGTTTTATGATAATAGCTAATGTCTTGCAATACACCTTCCTTTCACAGTCAAGTATGAAAATTATTACAAAAAATGAGTTCATGAATCGGCATAATCCTGGTTAGCATCCATTTACTTCAGATCAGTCGTTGGAATCAGCCGATTCGACTCGGGCATCGGTCATCCCGTGCCCGATTCTCGCTTATGTCCGGAGGGCATAATCGTGGTTAGCATCCATTTACTTTATATCAGCCGTTGGAATCAGCCGATTCAACCCGGGAATCGGTCATCCCGTGTTCGATTCTCCCTTATAACCGAAAATCGGGCGTGTTTAGAGGCGAACCGACAATTTGTAGCGTTGAAATCGGCCGATTCGACCCGAGAATCAGTCGTCCCGTGCCCGATTGTTGGAATCGGCCGATTTGAACGAGCCCCACCAGAAACAATTTATACCAATCAAATCTTCTCTAAAACTTCTATGTGGGATAATTCTCATCAAACAATATGCGTGTAAATAAGGTATTGGTGCTCTCTCTCTCTCTCTCACATGTATAATGGTGTATATGTATAAAATAAATTACATACTTTATAAATAGATCTCTCTCTCATATGTATAATGGTGTATAAATTAAACATTTTATAAATAGATCTCTCTCTTATACAATGACATCTATCAAATGAAATAGTCTGTACAAATATAAAGTACATATAATTACAAAAATAAAATTCTATTTAATAATTTACAAAAATTAACATAATTATATGAAATTGTTGTTTGTTTATGTTAATAAATTAAATATAATTATATTAAATTTATATCAATATAATTATTTTTATATATACTAAATTATTTTTAAATTACATGGAAGTTTTTTCTAATATTTTTAAAACTCTAGTAGGCTATTATCTCATGGGATTATTTCATTGTATGATTAATAATTAATTAAGTAATTAAATGAAATTAAAAATTAGTACTAGCTCATAAGATATTAAAAAATTAATAATAATACTAATTCTAGTTTATTGAATATTAAAAAATATTAGTTTAGAGGATATTTTAAGAGAGAAAAATAACATTAACTCATATCACTTTAGAATTTATTTCTACATTGATAACCAAATCTTTTACTTTATTTATTTTAATTTATTTGCATTCTAAATTACGTGATGTACTATTTCTTTTTTACAGTTGTCAATAATACATTTTAAATTAGATGATATTATTAGATATTTTGGATTTGTTATTATTTGTATAATAAAATATCTATAAAATGTAAACCAACAATTTCAATTGCAATATATAATACTATAGTTAGATTGTAATAATTTTAGATTATAATTAGTTAAGTTGTAATAATTTGGGTTTTTTTTAACGGATTAGGGTTTTCCGCTAATTCAAGATTTTGGTGGCCATGTTTTCATTGATTTAATCCATTCTTTATTGTAGTCCATGTATGATTATATACTTCATCAATGACAATTCCATGATTTTTCTTTTGTATGCTGTAAATTTAATGGTTAACATAACTTCATACGGGGAAAGAAAACATTTCAATATTAGCATATTAATGAAAAAAATGAAATTTAATAATGTAGTGCCCCCATTTCTTATTGGATTCCTAAAAAACAATATTTATAATGAATTTTAGTAATTTTTTTGGATATTTTTCAAGGCTTAATCCAACCGATTCGTCTGATTCTCGATCCGGATCACTGATTCACCGATCCGGATCACCGATTCACCGATCCAAATCACCGATTCACCGATCCGGTTAGGTTTTTGAGGTGCCCGATCCGGGGCACTGATCCGCTTTTTAAACCACTGCTTCAGATGATTCAGAGAATCCTAATGATGCGAAAATGAATATCAAAATTTAAAAAAGTAGGAATTTCAAGCACAAATGTGAGTTGACATAATCCCACAATTGGTGGGCTAAGAATGAAAGAATGAATAAAGACCAACATCCAACTGTATCCCATGTCCACTCACCAATAGTCTCTGCAAGAGCATTCACCATGCTTAAAATGGTGGAACCTCTTTCCATCCCTCACAATGATCTCCCTCTCCACAACCTTAGACATGAACTTCATTGCAGTGTGGCAATCCCCACATATCCTCAAGTTCTTCAAGACCCTAATCTCTGAACCCTTTGGCAACTTCAACAACCCGAAACCCACTGCCAATTTCTCACTGTGTGTCGACAAGCCATATTCTTTTTGCTCCAACCCCACATCATGCAATACAAACCGGGTATCAGGAATGTAACCGAGCTTCTTCATGCTCACACCAAGCTTCTCTAGTAATGCATACACCTCGTGCACGTAAGGGTGCACTGTATCATCAACCAAGAACACATGAACTTGGTTATCAACCTCTATCCAACTACATCCTGGCTCCTTCTTCACCCCCATGTCTTTCATGGTTTTCCTCACCTTTGCCACTCCTTCCCATTTCCCTATTGATGCGTACATGTTCGACAGCAACACATAAGTACCGTCATGTCGAGGCCTCAATTCGAAGAGGCGCTCAGCCGCCATCAATCCAAGCTCCATGTCTCCATGGTTCCGGCACCCAGCTAGCAATGCCTCCCAAATGCAAGCATCAGGGTAAAATGGCATGGTTTCAACAGTTTGTTTCGCCTCTTGGAGGCGGCCCGCCCGTCCTAATAGGTCAACCAAGCGAGCATAATGGTCAGGCCCAGGCTTAATGCCATAGGCTCTGTCCATGAGGTCGAAATATTTGCAGCCCTCATTTACTAGACCAGAGTGGCTACACGACGATAGCACTGTGAGGAACGTAACCCTATCAGGCTTGTACCCTGCCACAAGCATGCGCTCAAATAGCATTATGGCCTCAGACCCCCGACCATGTTGCCCTAGGGCTGCAATCATTGCATTCCAAGACACCGCATCAGGTGTAGGCATGACTCGAAAGGCTCTCTCAGCTGACTCCACTGCACCACACCTTGCATACATGGTCATGAGTGCATTGCCTGCTGATACACTAGCGTCAAGCCCCAATTGTATCAGTTGGGCATGAAGTTGTGCACCATGACGTAAAGTTCCTAGCGATGCACAAGCTGTAAGGGCCCCGGCGAATGCAAAATCGCAAGGCCTAGAGTCCTCGTGCCTCATTCTATTAAAAAGCCTCAGGCCCTCCTCACCTTGGCCATGTTGAGCTGACCCAGATATCATCACAGTCCAAGTAAGCTCATTCCTTTCAATCATTTTCTCAAAAATCTCTCGAGCCTCTGTGATCATGCCTAAGGTTGCATACCCAGATACCACTGCATTCCATGAGACCAAATCTTTCTCTCTCATTGCATCGAAAACTCTCATTGCTACCTCCATTCTTCCACATTTTGCATACAAGGATATGATCGCGTTCCACACTGGCAACGATATCTCTGCCTCTCTGTGTACAATGTAAGCATGTGCCTCCATGCCCGTTCGCACAAGTCCTATATTTGCACATGCACTAAGCAAGCTTGTATATGTAAATTCATCGAGCATTATGTCCTTCCCAAACATATCTCGAAACAAATCGAGGGCCTCCATACACAACCCATGTTGTGCATACCCTGCAATCATCGCATTCCATGCCACATCAAATCTATCCCTCATCACTTCAAACACTCTACGAGCGCCCTCAAGGTCCCCAATCCTAACAAATCCTGTAATCATTGTGGTCCATGTAATCTCATCTCTCTTCAGCAATTCAGTAAACATCTTAGAAGCCAACCCTAATTCCCCACTTTTTACATAGACAGATATCAAAGCATTTGAAACCGAGGTTACATGAGCTAACCCTGCCTTCAAAGCAAGGCAATGGACCTGGGAACTCAAATTCTGGTCCTCAAGCCCGGCGCACGCACTCAAAGCAGCTGTAAAAGTGAACCCATCAGGCCTAGGCTTGCCTTGCTCAAGCATGGCCCTAAAGAGAGATAAGGCCTCGCGAAACTCGCCATGGTGGCCATAGGCCGAGATCATGGCGTTATAGGCCACTGCATCGCGGGTGGGCATCTCATCGAAAATCTGGTGCGCGACTGCTAAGGCACCGGAGCGCGCATGAGCGGCAAGCAGGGTGGTGCGTGCGACCACGTCTCTTTGAGGCATTCGGTCGAACACATGGTGCGCGCATTTTAAGTCTTCGGTGCTGCAATAGAAAGCGATGAGGAGGTTGAGAAGGTGGGCCCTTGGCTTGAGGCCGGAAGTTATGATGACGGCGTGAATAGCACGTCCTCGTGGGCGCGACTGGGTGCGGGTGGAGGCTTGGAGGAGGGAGGCCAGGCGCCATGAGTTCGGATGTGGGCTCGTGATGGTGTCCTGTTTCGTGGGTAAATGATATGGTGCATGCTTCATGACAAAGGGGTATGGTCATGGTTAGGGTGCGAGCATGGCTTCGGCCTTGTGTTGCTCGGGGTTTTTTTAGTACTTTCTAATGTTATCTACGTAGCCCTTTTAATGGCAATGGGTTTTGTTAGGCAACACCACGTTCGGTGTAAAACCTTATCCTGCACAACAGTTTTAGACCAAAAAAAAACCTATCAGTGGTTGGACCGTATTGAGGGGAAATGGCAGCGGCCATGACTAAATTTCATACCTAAGTTACCTTCCAATTTGGGAGAAATAGAAGCGTTGAATATAAACTGCGATGCAGCTGCCGCCTGTCTCCTGCTCCTGCTGCAAAAGATTGTTGAGAGAGAGAGAGAGAGTTGGCTCGCTGCGTCTCCTCTCTCTTGTAGAGAAAGAGATTCAGTGACCTTTCCTCAATCTACTACGTCTCTTATCTCGCACATTCCCATGTGATTGGTCCAAACCCAGAGTACATGACAAACATCAATATACTCCGAGGTATAAACACTTACGCAACCCATTAATGGCCATGGCTCCTGCCATTTCCCCTCAAGAGTTCCAGACAACGGAAGAAAATATGGTCCCGCTAACCGTGTTGTTTTAATTTATTGAAAATACCACCCCATGTTAAAAGCATCGGAGCGCCAATTGTTCTCTTTTTTTTAAAACGTAACCAAGCGGTCGGAAGTTTTAAAAATCGGACCGAGGCAAACTTGCCAAAAAAAGGTGAAATTAAGGAAAAAGATGTTAGAAGTTTAAAAAATCAGATCGGGGATATAAAAACTAAAAATAATTAAGCTTCCATCCTTTCAGATAATAATGTCCATTTCGGTTTTGAAAAACCGAAAATAGTTAGTTTCAATCTTTTTTTTAAAAAAAAAGAAAAACATATGTGTAATAATATAAAGTATTAGGTATTTTCGTAATAACAGAAAATAAAACATATATTTATGTAATTTTTCCTAATAATAATGAAAAAAAGATTATACAAAGCTTTATAATTAAAAAAGGTAAAATGCCATAAATATAGTTGTGGCCCAAAAGACACTAATCTTGATCATATCGATTGGTCCATCTAAAAACTGCACCGCCATCGAATTAGTGTCTTTTGGGCCAATTGATATAATTGGGATTAGTGTCTTGGGCCACAACTATATTTGCGTTTTACCTTTTTTAATTATAAAGCGTAGATCATATGTAATCTCCATCTTGATAGTTAAACACCCCAACAATTAAGAGCTCTAAACCTGTGCAGCCTGTATATTTAAGCTTGATTTCTCTCTCTCAAAACGTTAAGAAAAAATGAAAATATTCTCATAATATGTAATGTCATATTCTTTGCATGAATCCGGTTGTGGAATTTGGTCCCTTGGTGTGATACATGTGAAAATGAAAAAGTTTGTTTTGTGTTTGGATATTTGTTGTTTGTCCTTTTCAGGGTGACCTACCAAATAACAAGAACTTGAAGTGTCTCATCTAAGTCATTCAAAGCTAGCAATTGGGGGTTGGTCATTTGAGTTTTAGTTAAAGTTTTATTAAAGTATTTGAAAAAAATTGATTATTTCAAATATGATAGGGAATTGCATCCCTACTCTTTACCTATCTAAAACTGTAAAAAAAAAGAGAAAAAGTTGCAACTTATAAATTCATATATCCAAAAAGGATTGGACTTTTGGACATATTCAATAGAATTTGTGTTTTTGAGGACACTCGGTATCGCTGATAAGTCATTGTTTTAATAAATTAACTTTGCTTAGATTATCTATTATTTGGAAGTATCCATTGGTAAACTTATACACAATTTTACATATAAGTTTATCTGTTTGAATAAGCATCTTTACCTTAAAGTAATTTTCAGAAATGCTAAAAATTATTTTAAAAAATCTGAAAATCACAAAAACAATATAAAAGTAATACAATGTTATATATAATACAAAATATGCAGTAAATAGCCAACAAAATGGTATTACAGAATTTATTGATTTTAGATAAGATAGTACACGATGAACAAAATTATATGTCAACTATTTCTCGAGTCCCATTTGGATTTAAGCCTGTGAATCTTGAAGAGGGAGAGTTTGTAAGAAGAAAGAAGTTAATGTGTCTCGAGTTAAAGGTGCTCTCTGTGTATACATCTGTCATGGATGTCCATTCCTAAATTTATTTTGGGCCGGTGAACACATTGAATGCCTGGGATTGAGTATTTGTAAAATGAAGTTCTCTCTCCCTCACCCTCTCTCTCTAACTCTCCTATGGTTGGTTTATAAGCAAAAATGAAGTTTCTCTTTCACACGCTCTCTCTCTTACTCTTCGGGGAGAGAATTTGCCCAAGAAGGGAATTGGATTGAAAATACTCTCCAATGAGAAGCATGTTCTTTTACACAAATTTGAAGATTTGTTGGCCAATTTCAGGGATTTTGTTACGAGAAGTGGAACCAATGATTTGAAAATACAGATCAGTCATCCGGATCGTCAATCCTAAAAATTGTTTCAGGCTAGTGGATTGCTAATCAGAGCTAGGCCAAAAAAATTAAAACATTTATGAAAAACAAAAAATTTAAAAATAAAAAAAAGATGAGGCTGGATCGATAGTTCTTCCAGAAAATTAGACAGTTTGTAACTGGAACCAGCCGGTTCCCCATATAGTGGTGGAACCGGACCACCCCCACCGGACCAGCCCCAGCCCCAATTCTTGATCTAACATTTTCTTAGATCGAGTGGAGCCATCCATTGAAATCCTATCAAAACCTGCGCATTTATTTGGGTTTCTCCCGCTAACACACGCTCAAATTAACGCGTTGCTTTTATGTGCCCAAAAAACAGGTTAGAGGAGAGGGAGACAGAACATTGAAAGAGATAGATATTAAGCGGAGGAGGAAAACATAGAGCAACACACGAGAGAAAGAAGAAACCTGGTGAGAGTAATGAAAGCGAGAAAAGAGGAGAGAGAAAAATGTGGCGCGAGGGACCATAGAAATAAAAGATATCTAGTGAGAGAGAGAGAGAGAGAGAGTAGATAGTACAAGCATAGTAGGTTAGTACGTACCGTTACGTACGTTACGTTACCGTACCGTACCCGTACCGTACCGTACCGTACCGTACCGTACCGTACCGACCGACGTACTACGTCTCTCTCTCTCT